ATTTTAATGATGAGATTTATGGGATACATAAGCTATATGCAGGTAAATGTCCAAACAGTGGATCATAAATGAGGCTATATTTTACTGATTTGCAGTAAAATCTGTTTTCTTTACAGGCTGTTCCTGTTTTGTTGTTAATAATTCTCTCATCTCTAGTTGTTAAATAAAGCATCCTATGTTACAGATCTCTAAAGTTACTATCTTTAGGCTATAGACTATACTAGGAGCTCTGGTGGCGTAATGCCTAAGCATTTTACTACTAACCAGAAGGTTGGTGGTTCAAACTCACCAGCCACTCTGTGGAAGGAGTACTGAGCGATCTACTTCTGTAAAGAATTACCACCTCGGAAACCCAGTGGGGGTTTCTGTGAGTTGGAATCGATTTGGCAGTGAGTTTGGTTTTTGATTTATAGACAGTACTAATTGAAAAGCCTTAAAAAAATGATCATCTTGCTAGAATATAAATTAGGTTAATATAATAAAGCAAATAGTAAAAAATAATGTGAAATCATTTCCTTTTAGAATACTAATACGTTTGTTTTAATTTCTGCAGCCTAACATACATGGTGGCAATGCCTTTCTATTCAGCAAGCCTAATTGAGACAGTACAGGTAAACTATTTTCTTACTGTCATTTCTTTAGTTAAAAGTAAATATTTTTAATATTCAATATATTGTGTGTGTCTAATTTACATAATGAAAATTTAAGACTGTATACTTTAAGAAATTATTTCACAGATACCACATATCTATCAAAGATTATGTATTCTAGGCACATTGCTGGTGTACATATTTCCATGCAGAGTTATTTCAAACTTTTAATTCTTTTTTTAAAATAAAGTTTTAATTATTATTTATTTTTTTACATTTTAATTCTTTTTATTCCTTCTATACTCTCCTATACTCTTCATTCAGGTATCTCAGAACCCCCAGCTTATCACTTGCTCTGATTCTGTAAAGAGTCTATAGTTCTTTACAAGTGTTTAAAACCCTTTGGAACAAATCAAAGGGTTATAGCTTATCCTACAGTAGTAAATTATTCATTCCCTAAGCATAAAACATGATGGATAATCATCCTAACAATGAGTAAGTGGTCCCCATACATAGTTTACTCATTGTTGTTGTTGTTGTTGTTATGTGCCGTCGAGTCGGCCCCGACTCATAGCGACCCCTCCTTGGGTTTCCGAGGCAGTATCACTACGGAAGTAGGATTGCCCAACCTTCCTTCCGAGGAGTGGCTGGTGGGTTTGAACCGCCAGCCTTCTGGTTAGCAGTCAAGTGCCTTAGGCACTATGCTACCAGAGCTCCAGTTTACTCATAGCATTCTTTTTTTAAATAAGCCTTTTAAAGAACATTTGATATTATATGTGTGGTAAGTACTACAAAGCTAAAACAATATCCAAACCAAACCCACTGCCATTGAGTTGATTCCAACTCATCCATCCACTGCCATCGAGTCAATTCCAACTCATGGCAACCATATGGGACAGAATAGAACTGCCCTGCAAAGTTGCCAAAACTGTAAGTCTTTATGGAACTAGACTGCTTCATTTTTCTCTGGAGGAACAGCTTCAAACCACCAACCTTTTGGTTAGCAGCCCAAATGCGTTAACCACAGTGCCACCAGAGCTCCACGGCTATAAATCTTTATGGAAACGGACTGCCACATGTATCTCCTGTGGAGCAGCTGGTGGATTTGGATCACCAACCTTTTTGTTAGCAGCTGAGCGCTTAACCAGTGCAATACTAGGGCTCCTGGTTATACTGGTTTACTATTCTGACCACATGATGGCGCCTCAAGTACATTGAATTAAATGTGATACGCTTTCTCATCTTTGGTCTTCCTATGCTTGTACTACAAACTGAAGGTAGTTTTACCATCATTGCTACATAAAGTCCAATTAATTATGAACCAGTATTCTATATCCAACATCAGATCCTCAAATAAATCATTTTCTTCAATATGTATGAGTACACTTTCTTGATAAAAAGCTCCAGTGAAACAGCCTTTGGTCTTCTAATTACTTTTTTCTTCTTTGTTTCTTTTCTGGCCCCATTGTTAATATCTAGATTTTTTTTTTTTTTTTTAATGCATTGATTAAGTTCTTGCTTAGCTATCCAAATTCACTGGCAATTTTCCTTTTCTCTTGCATTTGGCATTAAAAGACGATATCTAATCTTTGTGTGGTGCTAAAGAGTTCTATGAGAGTTCTTTAGTTAGGTAAGGGAAAAAGAATAGAAAGGTAACTAACTTATCGAAGGAAGAACAACTAAGAGGCATGATATATTGTGGGAAAACACAAGCTTTAGCTTTACACAGACTTGTATAAGAATCACATTTCTCTACTTCTTAGATTTTTGATTTCAGGTATATTACTTATTTACTTATTTTAACCCAGTATTCATCTGCCTTATTTTCTACTCCAGGTTTTGCCCCTTTCTTTTTGACTGCTTTGCTGAAACTCTTTTTTTTTTCCCCCCTTCTTAGTGTTATATTCACTTGAACATCCTCCTCACTTGAACATCCAGTAACTATTTCTCCTACTCTATCCTAAGGGTCAGTCCCTGACTCTTTATTTTTTTATCCTATATTCACTCTACTGGGAGGCTAATTTAGTCTCAGGAATCATTTTAACTTTATCTGAATGAAATCCATCTTCACCTCAAAGTCAATTTATACAGACAATCTCATCTTCTTTCCATAAACAATAAGCTCAATTTGAAATCTCTTCTTTTTTCTATTAACAGCACTATTGTTATCTTTACCTTAAGGACTCAAAACTATGGTTTTTCATTGCTTTTTTTAGAAAAGTAGTAAAATGTATATAACAGAACATTTGCTGTTTTAACCATTTTTACTTGTATAATATGGTAATTATGCTCACCATGTTGTGCAGTCATCACCACTATACATATTTTCCAAATTTTTCTGTCACCCATAATAGAAATTCAGTGCCTTTTAAGCAATAATTTTCCTTTTCCACCTACCACCCACCCACCTCTGGTAACCGTTAATAAATTTTTTAGTTTCTGTGCATTTGCTTTTCTATTCTAGATATTTTATATAAATTGGATCATAAAATACGTGTGTTTTGTGTCTGACGCTATCTTTGGAGTCATGTAGGATGTGACTACCTTTGTTGGAGATCTTTGTTTTCTATGTAAGTTTTTGAGTAACTGTCTAAATGTCTTTTGAGTTCTAGATGAAAAATTCTCTATAGAATTTATTGTAGTACAGGTAAAAGTCATTACAAACTCTCTCAGCTTTTGTTTATCTGGAAATGTCTTAATTTCACCCTCAGTGTTGCTAGATGAGAATTCTTGGTTGACAGTTTGTTTCTTTCAGCACTTTAAATATGTCACTCCACTGCTTTCTGACCTCAAGGTTTCTAAATAGAAATTGGCACTTAATCTTGTTGAGGATCCCTTATATGTGACATATCCCTTCTGTGTTGCTACTCTTAGGAATCTATATCTTTTATTGTTTAGAGTTTTATTATGTTTCAAATGTGGATCTCTTTGTGTTTATCCTCCTTGAAGTCCATTGAGTGTCTTGATGTATAAATTCATATCTGCCAGCAAATTTGGTAAGTTTTCTGCCATCATTTCTTCTAATTTTCTTTTTATCCCTTTCTCTGTTCTCCTTCTGGAATGCCAATAATGCATATGTTAGTTTGTTTGATAGGTGGCATTAGTTGCCGTCAAATCGATTCCAACTCATGGAAGGCCCCATATGTGGTATCCCACAATTAGGCTTTGCTCTGCTTTCTTGATCCTTTTTTTCTTTTGCTCTTCAGACACAATAATTTTTATTGTTTTATATCAATTTACTGAGTCTTTCTTCTGCCATTCAAATCTACTGTTGAATTCCTCAAAAAAATTTCTTATTTCATTTATTTTGATTTTACAGTTATAGTATTTCTGCTTGGCTTCTTTTTAAAGTGTCCATTATCTATTAATAAAAAAAGGTGGAGGGATTATAGGTCATAATAAGTGATAATAGGAGTAACATTGAGTCCTGATTGGGTACCCAGCATTTTGTCATTTAATTCAGCAACTCTGTACATAAAAGGTAGATAGTACTAATCCCATTTTTTTATAGAAAGGTAAACTGACACTTAGAAGCTAAAGAAAATGCTGATGATCACATAATCAGTAAGTAATGGAGGCAAGTTTAAAACCTCCTTAGGCATCATAGTAGTTGGTTTTCAGATGAGTTCTAAGCAGCTTCTTGAAGGCAGGGAAACTAGGTGTATGCCTCTCAACATGTTGTCCTCTCTCTCTGCTTGATTAAGAATAGCTCCTGCCTTCACTGCCTATTGTGTGAGGTTTAATTTGAAAACAGAGTCTAATACCTAGATAACATTTAAAGTCTGGAAACCATTGATGTTTTCTTCCATTAGTTAGTAAACTTGTATTTAAAGGGGATCTGGAAAGCATCCTTGTTTGTGGTAAAAATAGACAAATGTTAAATTTTACTCATTTTATCATTTCAATTTCAGAGTGAGATAATTCGAGATAATACTGGAATTTTGGAATGTATTAAAGAAGGAATTGGAAGAGTGATAGGTATGGGAGTGCCTCATAGCAAACGACTACTTCCACTTCTTTCCTTGATCTTCCCTACGGTGCTGCATGGAGTTCTTCATTACATCATCAGTTCAGTCATTCAGAAGGTTGTCCTATTAATTCTAAAAAGAAAGACTTATAATAGCCATCTAGCTGAAAGCACTAGCCCTGTGCAAAGTATGTTGGATGCTTATTTTCCAGAGCTTATTGCTAACTTTGCTGCCAGTCTTTGCTCTGACGTTATACTTTACCCACTGGAAACCGTTTTGCACCGCCTTCACATTCAAGGAACACGCACCATAATTGACAATACAGACCTTGGCTATGAAGTACTTCCAATTAATACACAGTACGAGGGGATGAGAGACTGTATCAATACTATAAGGCAGGAGGAAGGAGTGATTGGATTTTATAAAGGGTTTGGTGCTGTTATAATACAGTACACACTGCATGCAGCTGTTTTACAGATTACAAAAATTATTTACTCTACACTTCTTCAAAATAGCATTTGAGATTTAGGCTCCATCACTGGTTAGTCAGTGAGACATAATCTGTATACTTTGTTATGGAATTATGAGAGTTAAAAGTAAAATACTGGGGGAAGAATGATTTGAAAAATGAAACTGGTTGAAAAATCCCACACTGATTGTATTAAAGTTTTGGATCAAAATTTTTCCAAATTTGAAAACTCAAGTAAAATTACTACTCATAGGAATTAAATATTAGCTAGTATAGCACTGATGCTAACCTGAAAAATGAAGATCCTGGGCAGAAACAAAGGTTTGTCATAAAATATAAAACAAAATGTCATAGACCTGAATCTAACCCATTTGACCTTAATATTTATTACATGTTTATTTTCACTTTCTAGATTGAGATTGTTCGTTACATCATCCTTAGTACAGTGTATGGTACCAGGAGGTCATAGCTTACCTTCATGCAGATAAATTTTGCCATCAGTGGAAAAGACTAGAAGATTAGATGTGGCAATCTATGAGAGGAGTTTAAACATTTGAATTGCATTCCCCTAGATAACTATTTTTAATGGCTGTATGTGTATTATATAAGGCCATTTATATGCATACGTAAATCTTGGTACACCCATCATCCCTACAGATCAGCTTACTGCATGGTATGAAGTCATGTACTTTCTGCTTGAATGTCACCAAGAGTAAAACATTAAAAACCAAGGTACCCAAAAAAAGTTGAACTTAACATACTCGTCCATTTCCAAGCCCAGTGTTACAGTGCCTACAATCTAAAATTTGTCAGACGTTTGTTAAGTTTGTTTTACTTGGCTAGTTATGTGAACCATCAGGCTATTTTTAGAACTACCCTTATAGAAATAGACTATAAAACAATCATGACAACTATTACTGTTTCCATATTTTCAGATTGTGTACTTAAAAAAAACCTCACTTGGCTTTTCATTTCTGAATGACTTGTCTTAGAGAAGACAAAATTAAAATTCACCTGTGAATTTGTGCCTCTTGCCTTCTGTACAGTCATCATTAAATCACTAAACTTCAGGGTTTTTGTTTTTTTTTTTCCCCCCTCAGTTTTTACTTAAGGTTTAGTTTGCAGAATTAGATATACATAAAGGGAAAAGCAAGTTTAACATTACCATCTTTTATTTAAACTTGTCTTGGTGAATACTGAAGAAAAAATAGAAACTTTAAAGGGAGTTTAGTCCCTTTATGGATTTTTATGGATTCCATGGGGAAAACAAAGTATGTTTCAAGCAAATATGCAAAAAAAAAAAAAAAAGTTGAATAAATTTATTAAAATTTTCTGTCGATTTCTAAATTTTATTTAGATAAAATAATACTTATTTATGATGTGAAGTTAACTTATCTATCATTAAAAACATTTTAAAGTTTTATTTCCTCATGTGGATATCACAGTTTTACTATGAACTGTTTAGCACACTGAAATACAGTGCCTTTTACTGATGTCCAGTATAAAGCTGAATTTATTTTACTTTGCTGAGTGTCAGATAAATGATTACTTTTTATGATTAATAGTGTGGGAACCAAAAAATTATATCCAAAAAAGTGTGAAACAGTAGGGTAGGGATTCCCTCCACTATCTTATAAATGTGTTGTTGCTTTTTAAGATTACTGAAGCACGTAAGTTTTCCATTTTTAAATTCCACCAAGATGGAAAAAGTGAAAGTCAGTATCAGTGTTCACATGTGTTTTATGCTTAATCTAGATTATGATTTATTTTGTCTAATTTATGACATTTATATTGTGCTCATTGCTTTTTAAATGCTAAGTAATTTTTTAGATGTTTTAATATGCCCACCTTCCTAAAAAAACTTTATTTTTATATATAATCAAAGGTGGTTTCAGAGAAAAGTAAACTTCAGAAAATTTCAAATTATTTGCTTTTATAGAATAACAGAATCTGAATGGAATTGATTATTTACTAATGAAAATCTGTGGGACTCTTCAGCTTGTAAAAAATAAACTATTTCAAGATTTGTTGGAAGTTAGCATGAAAATGCAATTATATAAATTTGTTTCAGTATGAAATTATTGTAAGTGTGATAGACTGAACCAAGTAAGTGCAAGCTCAAGTAAGTAAAGTTGTTCTTATTATCTGTACTTTGGAGAAAGAGAATACAAATAAACATTAAAACTAAAATTTAAAAAGTGGTAAGTAAAACAGTAATTACTTTTGCTGTTATTACAAATTAGTTGGAATATAAGTATCTTTAAAATTCAAGTATTTAAATACTGGCGAAAATGTTTAACTGAATTTAGGAATAAGTGGAAATAATTAAAAACAGCCCATTTTTAAAAATATTATTTTTCTTTAACATATAGGTACAAATATCAATTATAGCTAAATTTCTTGAGATGATGATAGTTCAGAATAATACCTTTTAATTACTATAAGTAGTAGTGTGGTTAATACTAAGTTTTATTAAAAAATTTTTTGTTCCATAGGCCCAGTGGTCATCTTATATAGGTCAGATTTTGGTCAGGGAGCTAAAGTGTGATATGCTTGTCTTACATTGTAGGGTTTCATAATTTGAGTTAAATAGTCTAAAAGAAATTGAATTAGAAACTGAAAAATTTGATAAATATTAACCTGTTGAATGAGTTTATGAATGATTTACAGAACCTCGTGAGTTTTTTTTGTTTGTTTAGTTATGCAGACATTTTCCCTCAAGATAACCTCAATTTTATTTTAGTTTTGTGCCTTTAAAAAACAATCGCTAGCTAAAGAAGGTTATTTATTTGAGTTTCCAAACTTACAGATGTTATAAATATGAAATGGAAAAAAAAGCTAATTTCAAAATGGCTGTGGACTGGGGGATTTGATAACAACCAGAATTTTCAGAAACATGAAACTGGAGAGGTAAAGGGATCTTGCTCACTTTTGCAGATGTGCCTGACTATTCACAACTGTCTTCAGCACTGGGTTAGTAATACACTAAAAACATTCATTATTGATTAGACACAGATGCTTCACTATTTCTATCCATGTATTCATGCATTTGCTCAGAAAACAAAACCACTCCTCTGATACATGCTTTATCACATGAGACCATGGAGTTACATGGTGGTGGAGGATGTAACTCAGTTTGCTTACTCGGTATTTTGGAGCAGTAAAGATTACTATGTCAGCTCTTAATAAGGTTGTTTAAATTATTTTCAAAACTTACATGAGCTAGTAAAATCCCCTTACTAACAATTCACATTGCACTAGAATTTGAGTGTTACTTTGGCATTTCTCTTCTCTTCTCTTGCATATGGTTGTACATAATCTCTTGCTTGCTCTTCCTCTCGCTCTATCTTTCTCTGTAATATATACTGAATATGTACTGACTTGCTTTTAAGTCATTGAGTATCAATGATGTGGTACCAAGTTGTATAGCAGAATAACAAAAAATTTGTGATTTGACAATAATATTAGCTAGGAGTGGTGTTTAGTCTGTATTTTTATTATTACTATTATTGTTTTTGTCTCCCTGTGTTGGGTAACTGTTTGTTTTGGGTAAATTGTGTAATGTGGAAAGTTCAATAAAATGTTGAAATAAAACCATTTTCTCTTACTGAGGCTAGAGAATAACTCAGTCTGGTGTTAAAAGATAAGGCATATTTTTGTAGGTAAAATGAAGATCAAGAAAAATGTGTAAAATGAAACCTTTTTTGTCCATTTGAAAATTCTTTTCCAGAGCATAAAAAATGATGTAACTATAATGTGGTTCACAAAAAATTAACAAATGACCCAAAATAAAGATTGGCATGGTAGCATAGTGCCTAAGGCACTTGACTGCTAACCAGAAGTTAGCACTCCTCGGAAGGAAGATGGGGCATTGTACTTCGATAGTGATACTGCCTCGGAAACCCAAGGAGGGGTCGCTGTGAGTCGGGTCTGACTCGACGGCACATAACAACAACATGCATTATATTTTGTATAAGCCTTATATATTCCCATATTTGAGCCTCACACTAGCCCTGTGATATTTTCCAGGCAGTGTTGTTTGAGGAACTAGATATAGAAAGGTAATGACTTGTCCAAAGTTAAGCAACTAATTAAACATAAAGCCAAGAGTGGAGCTTAGGTCTTGTTATCTAGTTCAGTGATCTCAAATTCAGGAAAAGATGGTCTACTAATATTAGCTCTTTAGGAAAAGAATAGCAGTAGCTAACATTTATTATTTGGTACAATGCTGAGATCATTAAGAATTTAAATGCATCATCTCATGTATTTCTTATATAACTTTGTGAAGTAGTGCTGATAGTTTTGTATCATCTTTTTAAAGTTAATAAAATTGTACCTGAAGCTGGGAGATTAAGAGTTTTGCTTAAGATCATACAGTAACTAAGTAACATAGCTAGGACTTAACTCAGGCATTACTCAAATATTATACTCCTGGGCTGCTCACCAGGCCAAAGTTTGGTTGCTTTAAATGGTAGCATCCAACAGAAGAACTAAAGGGCACTACTGTTACTGATGAACTACTAAAATTAATCTGGGCTGGGGCCTAAAATGGAAAGTTTTGAGAGCTCTTTGGTAGGTGTTTCCACAGCCCTCATTACTCCCCTTCCTTCTCCAGGTTGCAAAACAGCTTATAGCCCCTTAATTCTTTCCTGTGACATGGATTTTATCTTGCAGTTATCTGGGAACATCTATTAAGCACCATAATAGAAGACACACTAATACTGAGGGTCTTGATTTCTCCCTGCTAATATTACACATATATAGACATAGGCATAATAAATGACAGACAAAATAATGAATATATAGATGGTAAACAATTCTGACACTAGTCTTGTCTACATTTTTAGAAGCTTGTTCCCCTTTAGTTTAGAATTTCAAGACTGAAAGTGACCTTTGGAAATCATCTTGATCAAGCATAATGGTTTACAAATTTGAAACAGTCCTAGAAATGTGGTTAGGTGTTGACAAGTCAGTTTTGACTCATAGCAACCCTGTGTACAACAGAACAAAACATTGCCCAGTTCTGCTTCATACTCAGAGCATTGCTTTGTTTGAGCCCATTGTTGCAGCCAGTGTATCAATTCATCTCATTGAAGGTATTCTTTTTTGCTGCCCCTCCACTGTACTAAGCGTGATATCCTCCTCCGTGGACTGATAACATACCCAAAGTACATAAGATGAAGTCTTGCCCTCTTCACTTCTAAAGAGCATTTTGGCTGTACTTCTTCCAAGACAGATTTGTTCCTTCTTCTGGCAGTCAGTATTCTTTATTGACTTTATTAGCACCTTAATTCAAAAGCATCAGTTCTGTCTTCCTTGTTCTTGGTCCAACTAGTATATGCCTATGAGGCAATTGAAAATGCCATGGCTTGGATC